TTCGAGGGCCCGTGTTGCGCTGCTCGGTCGCAGACGTCAATTGCGACGCCCCCCACCACCACCACAGGGCGGCAATCACCTCAGCAGCACACACAGCCAACGGCGGCAAGAACATACACCTCACTTACACCCCACATCACGACACGTCTCCCGAACCACATGAAGCTCCTCCAATTCAACTGTAACGGGCTACAGAGCAAGATTGAGGAGATAACCGTCTTCATGTGTCGGCATGGTATATTAATAGCTGCGGTCCAAGAGACAAAGTTGCACAGCAATTCAACTTTGTTGAATTGCGCCGGGTACAACGTGCACCGTCGAGATCGCGAGCGAGATAATGGTGGTGGCTTAGCGTTCATCACGCACCACACCGTGCAGTATCGTCTTATCGAAGCAGACATCGACCGCAGGGATACCACCCTAGAATGTCAGGGCATCGCTATCCGGTCAGGCGATGTCGAGCTCGAAATATTTAACATATACATACCCCCTGTCACCTGCTGCCCGGCAGGATATCACCCTGATATAGGTGCGCTCCTCAGAGGTGAAAACCGTATGGTAGTAGGTGACTTTAATGCGCACAACGATCTTTGGCACTCAAAACGATCGTAGGGGAACAGACTTGGCTGAGCAGATAGACGATTCGACATTCTGCACAATGAACGACGACGCACCCACCAGGATTATGGGTAACTGCAGTAGCTCGCCAGACATCACAATAGTCAGCGCTGGTCTGATAAACAGCATAACGTGGCGACCTATGCTGACTCAAGCATCAGACCATCTACCCATAGTCATCTCGATTGATAAACCAACCGACTTTGCCTCCGCCAAACACCGGACCTATATCAACTTTTCCAAAGCTGATTGGAAAGGTTACGCGGAGTTTACCGAAAACACCTTCGCAGCGCTCCCCACACCAACCGACGTCCATCTCGGTGAACGTAAGTTCCGCAGGGCTATCACGGCTGCTGCAGCTCGCATTCATACCGGCAGGACGTATATCGGACCCACGTCCAAACTTCCCTGCCGAAGCGGCTGTTCTAGCTGATGAGCGTGATAGCCTTCGTCAGGCCGATCCCGGAGATCCCCGTATCAGGAATCTCAACGCGGAGATTCGGCAACTTGTAAACGTACATAAGCGGAAGAAGTGGGAGGAGCACCTGAAGACTTGTAATTTCACCTCTGGTGTGAGCAAGCTTTGGTCAACCGTGAGGTCATTGTCTAATCCGACGAAGCACGACGACAGAGTCGAAATCTCCTTCGGCGACCATGCTTCGTCGGACCCGGAGCGATGCGCGAGCTATTTTAGCCGGCAGTTCATACTGCATCCTCCGGTAGACAAAGCCAAGCGTCGAGTGACCAGAAGGCTGCACAAACTGCCAACAACTTGTGCCCCCCTTGCTTTCACTTGCGGTGAAGTTCAGGTGGCCATCGGGAAGGCGAAAGCCTCCAAAGCCATGGGTCCCGACGGAATATGCATGCTGATGCTGAAAAATTTGGGTCCTGCGGGGGTAGCGTACCTAACGGAGGTCCTCAACCTGTCAATGGCCACTCTCATCATCCCAGACATCTGGAAGGTGGGGAGAGTGGTCCCACTGCTCAAACCGGGGAAACCCGCCAACAAAGGAGATTCGTATCGTCCGATTACACTCCTTTCCCCGGTAGCGAAGACACTCGAGGCCTTGCTACTCCCGTACTTCACAAACCACCTGACCCCAGCGAAGCATCAGCATGGTTTCCGTAAAGTGCACAGTACAACAACAGCACTTAACGCCATAAACACTCAGATAACTCGTGGCCTTAACCGCAACCGTCCCTGTGAGAGAACGATTCTAGTAGCGTTGGACTTGTCAAAGGGGTTTGACACCGTCTGCCATTCCACGCTGCTAGAAGATATAGAGGCCTCCTCTCTCCCACAGAGGCTCAAACGGTGGTCGGCAAATTATCTGAGTGGTCGACATTCGTCGGTAATATTTAGAGACAAAATGAGTAAGCAGCGAAAAATAAAACAGGGGGTTCCTCAGGGTGGTGTCCTTTCCCCGCTACTGTTTAACTTTTATATTTCAAAGCTCCCTCAACCACCAGAGGGAGTCTCGATTGTCTCCTATGCCGACGACTGCTCGATCATGGCGACTGGGAATGGAATTGATGACCTGTGTTTGAAAGTAAACGGCTATCTCTCCGAACTTTCTCGCTTCTTCACTGCAAAGTGTCTAGCCCTCTCCCCTACGAAATCCTCCGCGACCCTGTTCACAACCTGGACGAAGGAGGTCAGGCTACCGCTAGGGATTCACGTCGATGACACACCAATTCCGACGGTTAATAACCCCAAAATACTCGGAGTAACATTCGACAGCCTGCTCTCCTTCTCTGCGCACTCAACCGCTATTGTCAATAAAGTACAGAGCCGCAACAAGGTCCTCAAGTCGCTAGCCGGCAGTACTTGGGGCAAAGACAAAGAAACGTTGCTGGCAACATACAAGGCAATAGGCCGGCCGGTTTTGAACTACGCAGCGCCAGTGTGGTCGCCAGGGACTAGTAGGACGCAGTGGACGAAGCTACAGACGGTACAAAATACGGCACTTAGGACAGCGACGGAATGCCTCCTGATGTCGCCTGAACACCACTTGCACGGCGAGGCGCAAATGCTCCCAGTTAAGGAGCATAATATAATGCTCTGCAAGCAGTTCCTGATCGGGAGCCACAGAAGTGGCCACCCAAACAGACAGCTGCTTGCAGAGGAGCCCTCGCCTAGGCACGTCAGGAGGCATCTATATGAACTGACGGACGAAGTCCAGAGGTTCATTAAGCAACCTCTGGACCCGACAGCGTACAGACAGGCCCTGAACGGCATTCACAGGGACTCAGTCTCGAGTTATGTAGACTCTAGACCTGTGAATGCCGTTCTAGGCATACCACCCCCGGACATAGACGAGACAGAGCTTCATCTGCCTCGGGAGACACGCTCTACACTCGCTCAACTTCGCTCCGGCTACTGCAGCAGGTTAAACTCCTACTTGAGTAGGTTGAATGAGGATGTGCCGAACGAATGTCCGGCATGCGGAGGGACCCCACATGACTCGAGCCATCTCTTCGCATGCCCGGAAAACCCGACAACCCTAACGGCCTTGTCCCTGTGGACAGATCCCACAGAAGCTGCACGCTTCCTAGGGTTGCCGTTAGTGGAACTTGACGACAACGACTGAGATACCAACCGATCTGGGCGGGGTTGTTGTAGCCGCTACAACAACAACAACAACAACAACGCCAGCAATATTAATGCTGTTCTTTACATCTTTTGACTATAGGCCAGTGCAATTATCAAGAGAACAATTAAAAATGTATTGAAAAAGGATAACTTTGAGATTAACGATAAGCTAAAGGGCTCCGAAAAATTATATTTGACTTTATCTTTTGCATTAACGGATTCATTATTTAATAATATGCACCAAACCTTTTTGCTGAACCCAGAATTTTTAACAAGAATTGGTCTTATTCGACTAGTGTGCTGTGGGTGATTTGGCGGTCGATGCGCGGGCTCTTAACATTAAAATAAAATACTAATATTTTGCAGGCTTCTTGTTGACTTCATGATACATTATATTTTCACTATTACCAAGGGATTTGAGTAAAATTAGATTTTCGACCCGCCCTAATGTTCACACCTAAAAGCATGTTCACATTAACGTAATTTACGGCGCATTTGTAATTTATAAGCAAATCATGCTGAAATCAAGTGATTTCCCTTGGTAAAATCTGTCAAGAACCAAACGAAGAAAAAAAGATTTTTCATTTATTTTAGCCCCACTGTTGAGGGAATTAAAAAAATGCCTAAAGGTATGCAACCATTTTTGTTTGGTACTCGTACATATACCTGCTAATCACATATCTATAGAATTTAAGAAAGAAAATGTGAACTTACTTTGTTCATGTGAAGTTATTTGATCGAATGTAATGTGAACATATATTAAGGGTGTTAGGAAATTTTCAATTACAA